AGAGTTCCCTTTTATTTAACAAATCTTACGCGACCAGAAAAAACAAGCGCGCGCGGAAAAATAGTCTTTGCATTTGCTCACGTCAGCAGCGTACACCCATGGGCAAATGGGGGACGCTAAATTGACCAATCAGAGCGCGCGCTTTACTTTGGTTATGTTATAATTAACAAATGGTAAACACCACAGCGTACACTATTGAGTTATGGATGCACGCGGGAGGTTGCTAAGCACGAAAGAAGCGTAAGAGTCGCTCGAGGCGATAGCCGAGAGCGACTCTAGCTTCTTGAGTGCTTAGCAAACCTCCCAAGTGCATCCATAACTCAATAGTGTACGCTGTGGTGTTTACCATTTGTTTTATAACATAACATTGATACATTGTAGCTAAAGAGTTCCCTTTTATTTAACAAATCTTACGTGACCAGAAAAAACAAGCGCGCGCGGAAAAATAGTCTTTGCATTTGCTCACGTCAGCAGCGTACACCCATGGGCAAATGGGGGACGCTAAATTGACCAATCAGAGCGCGCGCTTTACTTTGGTTATGTTATAATTAACAAATGGTAAACACCACAGCGTACACTATTGAGTTATGGATGCACGCGGGAGGTTGCTAAGCACGAAAGAAGCGTAAGAGTCGCTCGAGGCGATAGCCGAGAGCGACTCTAGCTTCTTGAGTGCTTAGCAAACCTCCCAAGTGCATCCATAACTCAATAGTGTACGCTGTGGTGTTTACCATTTGTTAATTAAAAAAAAAACTAAAGAAAACATCAAAAAAACACTAACGAAAACATTCAACTTAACCTCTTTGTTTGTTTGTTAAGTTTTTGATTTGCTTTATTTTTGTTGTTGTTGCTCGTCGTCTTCTTCTTTTTTTATAATGAAAAGTTTTGTTTTGTTTGAAGAATAGAACTTTAGCTGTAGACAAGGAGTAAGAGCCATCAATAGTGCTGTGCATTATACCTTTACAGTTTGTATGTGATGAACACTCGCTCATCTCCATAATTCGGTCACCATCGCAACCCTTGAAACAACTTCTTGTTTGAAATTTAACACTACACCGACCAAAGCACTCGCTCCACTGATTTGACGATATCAACGATGAAGTACCTTTAAGAAAGTGATATCACGATACTGATCTAGGACAATTTTAAACTATTAAACGTGAGACAAAATTGTGATTTTCCCTCCACACTTTGTTGCTTATTGTTTACAAGCAAAAAAGCAAACAAAGATGTTCCAGTTTTTATGTGATTTTCTTCTAGTTACAGATGCTAGGGGATATCACAATTTGGAGAGAATATCAATAAAAACTTCTAACCTCCATCTCATCGCCGCCGACCTATTAGCCTAGCTGCTATATCAAGAGCGATACCCGTCATACAGGAATATCACTCAGCTAGCTCAACCGCAGATTTTAGGTTGCGGTGCTCAACGTAGAGACTGCAACACATAATACTGTGCGTCCTTGAAAACAGTTTTAAGGTTCAAGATATTACTTTCCAAAAGAGGAAGTTTCTCTCGCCTTGCCAACGAGTCTCGCATTACAAGTATTCAGTATATTCAGAATGGGTCGATGTCATTTTACCAACGTGCTTGTCAAGCCTTTGTGAACGCACTCTTTATACATTTTATTCAACTGAACAGTTGTTGAGATTAATTCATGAGACAATCACATGGACCCGACGGAGGTCTAAACTAATATATGGGTGGTTCATGTTTTATTAAATGATCACAATAGATCCAAAGTAAATAAACATGGCAATAACAAAATCCTTAGGTTATCAAAATATCAAGCTTATAGCAGAATCCAATGCGTTGTCTTAACGAATGCTCGTCTTGAATCACACAAAGGATGTTGAATAACGAAAGAAAGACAGAGAAAGAAATAAGAGGGTTATATTTTATAGCTCATATGCCAATTGATTATTTCCTTGAGTTGAAAGGAAACAACCATTTTTTAATGAGACTAAACTGAACCCGTTGTCCAAACGGTTCAGTTGTGCGTACACAAGTTTCAGATGCACAACGTCGATTTTGACTGCAGGGGATTAGATATCACCTGTTCACGACTGAAGTAGTGGCCGTCAGCGTTAAGTTAAGTTGCAAACTGCGTAAAGCCTCTACTGGTGCAATACTCTAAAAACTATCAACTATTTTTTTGTTATTGGGGTTTAATAAATCTCAATTTTAGAATTAAAAAAATATGCGTAAATAAAAAGCAACGTTAAGAATAAGGATAAAAGAAAATTCTCTTACCTTGGATTGATATCTGCTGTGTCATCCAGAACAACGAAAATCCAAATAAAGGAACCCATAGACAAATGGAAAAGCACCGAGGCATTTTATCTGACTTTCACCATCTCACTGCTCCAATATGAATGCAACTATAACTGTACTTTCACTATATTTTCATCCATAATAAACCACTTGTCACTTTTTTTTAAAAAAAACTACATGGATTTTAATTAATATAACAGGCAACAATACACAGAACTCAATCATTCTGTACACAGGTAGAGCTCACGTAAGTACTTTCACCCCTTAATGTAAACGTATTTCCGCTTGAGAGTCAAATACCTACAGCTTAAGAGAGATTCTTTGCACGGAATACAATGCCTTACGATTAAAGATTTGATTAAGCGAACTTTACGTGATGGATGCCTTATCAAACTACCTAATATAACCCTTTTTTAAAGGTAGAGTGCAACAGCCATCTGTTTCAAATTGGTAATCAAAAAAACTTATTTGTGGCTGCTACATGCCTAAAATGGAAATTAGATGGTCCTTTCTTTATTAATAGTTCTACAATTGATTATTTTATTCTAGATTAGCCTAAAAAATTAACAATTTCTTTGGGGTGTATACTCAAATGCCTTACCGCTCCTTATTTCTTTTAAAAACACTTGAATTCATCGACCAGCGAGGTGAAAATCAATCAGCTCCCTTCGTGAGAGCAAGTCGTTGATGCGTTGATGCAAACTTCAACAAACTGATTATTAATCTTACTACGGTTGTTAATTGACAAGTCTCTTCATTTATCAGATGTGTACTCTGACAGCGGAATAAAGAATTGAAACCCCAAGGTCCATATGTGTACAAAGAAGAGAATTATCACGGTAGGTAAGTCAAAGTAACTAAGTCAACTTTATTTAAAGAGGGTGTACACATAACAGCTTACGCTGACAAACCAGTGGCCCTCAAAACTAAGGATTAGTAAGTAATACAGTGCAAATCTAGAAAATCTATATTTGGCAGGTATTTTTGGTAAGGATACTGGGATACCAACCTAAACTTTCGTTACAACAGGCAACTTTTAATTTATTCGTCTAGCCTGCAGATATAAGCGAACTCAAACGGAATAAGACGAATAACGCTCCTTTTTGTCAGTTAAATTCGATATTTTTACGCAACCCAAAGAAAAAGATTGATTTGCTCCCCGTGCCTGTACAACAACAACAGCAACAAAAAACAACTGATAAAGAAATCCATGATAGGTCTATTTTGTCGCCCACTATTTAAGCAATAGAACACTTTTTCCCTGGCTCTATAACGTGACAAAGCCACTTGGGGTGTTGATAAAACACGAGGAAAGCTTACAAACACGAGATGAAGGTGAATGATTTATTAGCTTTGCGAGTGTTTTCCGAACATCCCAAGTGGCTTTATCATGCTATAGAGCCCGAAAACAAACGTGCTCTATTGCTTTTGTTGCGGGCTTTTACCACTCGCTTGGACGAATTAACGAAAGGCACCAAGACTCTATACTTTTCTTCTTTAATTCTCTCCTCTTCTATTGTTGCTACTACCTTCTACTACCACAGCTATTTCTCCTCTAACTTCAGCGAGGAGTGCCCTCTCAGTTAATGTAAAAATCACAGACATGTTTGGGTTAGCTGACAGTGGGAATTTCCAAAACAGGATATTCAGTGTGGCTAAAACTTAAGGTTAGGTTTACCAACCCAAACATGACCACCTAGCAAACTAGTTATCCTTAACCATAACAAGCGATTAAAATGTCTAGCACGGTAAAAACTGAGCCAAGTTCAAGAACACACTAAAAATAAATGATCAAAACTATAGATCTACCAAAATAGCACGTAGGGGCGAAAAGGCGAGACTTAATAAAACACAAGGTAAACCTAAAAATACTCGAAATATCAATCCTTGAAAATGCTCTACAACANGATATGGAACAACAGAGAGATTAAGATAGACGGTAAAAGTGTGTGTTGTGGGGGTTTTTACCACTCGCTTGGACGAATCAACGAAAGGTACCAAGACTCTATACTTTTCTTCTTTTATTCTCTTCTCTTCTATTGTTGCTACTACCTTCTACTACCACAGCTATTTCTCCTCTAACTTCAGCGAGGAGTGCCCTCTCAGTTAATGTAAAAATTACAGACATGTTTGGGTTAGCTGACCGTGGGAATTTCCAAAACAGGATATTCAGTGTGGCTAAAACTTAAGGTCATTTTTACCAACCCAAACATGACCACCTAGCAAACTAGTTATCCTTAACCATAACAAGCGATTAACATGTCTAGCACGGTAAGAACTGAGCCAAGTTCAAGCACACACTAAAAATAAATGATCAAAACTATAGATCTACCAAAATAGCACGTAGGGGCGAAAAGGCGAGACTTAATAAAACGCAAGGTAAACCTAAAAATACTCGAAATATCAAACCTTGAAAATGCTCTGCAACACTTTTATGACATAACTAGTTACAAGTGGGCTCTATAACCTGATAAAGCTTGCACACTGAATTGACCAATCAGAAGTTGCCTACTATGTTCATTATGTTATAAAACATCTGTCGTTCTTTGTAACAACACTTGTCGCACTTTCTAATAAAAAAAAAAAACCTTTCGCGCTCTAAAAATCATCTGACTGGGTAAATAAAACTTGGCATTGATGGTCGGAAAGTAAATAGACCTTATCAATAATAATGATAATACGTATGATGCACGAACTTCATATATTCATAATAATGATAATAGTAATAATAATAATAATTATAATAATGATTTCAAAAAATATCGTCATAAAAATTTCTCTGCACCTTCTACATCAATGACTGATCATAAATGGCTGATCAGTAAAGAGTTCTTTTACTTTTTTCTCTGATGCAAAAACGGGCCCCTTTTTTTTTACCGTTTCTTTGTATTGTATTAAATATATTAATCAGTAGTTTCACTAGCAACCTTTGTGGCTTCCTTTGGTATTGATGTATGGGATCCCATGAAAATGGGTTCCCACTCCACTGATGAGCAATCTCGTGATCAGTGGGTAAAAAAGGAAAAAATCGTATGCAAAGGTGGGGATGAGTGTGTAAAAGGAACATAAAAGTTAGGTGTTAAAATTGAGGGAGCGACTTCTGTAACAACAGCACGCTCCTAAACTCAATTTAAAATTGTAAAAAATATATATGTTATATATTATTAAAATAAAAAATAAAATCTTTGGTTTTAAACCTCCGTTTTAAGTCTCAGGTAATTAACTTATACATTATCAGAAACAAGATACGCAAGCTGATGAAGCCAGGGATGGGATGAGTCATTGCCGTTGCAATTGCGCATGCTCGCTAGTTTACTCTAGTTTGAGCACTCTGGCATGGCTTAGACGATACCACAAAGGTTGGGTCGTTTGGGGTGACCGTCTCGGTTCTCCCCCATCCTAGCATTAGCACTGCACTGATGAGGCCCAGAAGGCCGAAACAATACTGTCTGCAGTTAGTTATATATATATATATCATCTACTAATCTGTCAAGCTACTAACAGAAGCAAACTCTAAATGCGACTGTTTTTGATGACTTACAAGGTCGGGTTTTTGTGGAGAAACAGTTGTAACTTTTCCTCTAAAGAAATTGTTAAAAGAGAATTCTGACACTTGTGAACTTACTGCTTGATGAGTGTTTTGTTCAGGTTTAAGTATGATCACGTAAATCTTCGGGAAGAACATGCAGGTTAATATACCATAGCAACTAAGAAGCGTCATCGCGCATTTCAAGTTTGTTGCGTACGAGCCATAAAGACCGATGTTAATGGGTAGATACCCCACAGACGACAGCAGCAAAATGTACATGGCAAATCCAATATATCTTGCCTCGTTAAAGTTTTCAGGCAGTGATCTTGCTTTAAAAGCGTAAAATGTACAAACAACAGCGAGAATCGAAATATAGACCGATATAACGATTTGCATTGCCAAGCCAGTCGATGATTGGTGTAACGAACAAGAGAGAAGGATCATACCTTCAACTGGCGGTAAGATTCTTCGTTGATGCGGTGAATCTAAGGCAACCCATAAGGTTAAGAAAATAACTTGAGGTAAAATAAATAGCAGAACAAGAAGTGATTGGCTCTTCGTAGATAAAATAAACTCTTTGAACCTCTTTGCGATGACGTTTATTTGGAAAGCACTTAGTATCTTCATTGTTTTAATTACCAATACGGAGATAAAAGTCACAAGAACCATGGATCTTACACAATTCACCAAAGTGCATATAAAGTCGGTCGGCTTAGCGAGAGATAAAATGGACACAGAAAAAGACGTCGTGATGGTGAACATAAGAATTGCACTTAGTTCACGGTTTGAAGCTTTTACCAGTGGTGTCATTCTGTGTTTATAAAGGATGAAACTGCAAATGGCAACGAGTAGGAATCCAATTACCGCAAACAGTATTACCAGGACAGATGCGAGACTTGACCATTTTATCTCAATTTCTGGAAGATCCAAGCATTCTGACCGACTTTCATTAGGCGTTTGTCCTTGAGGACATTCCGTACAGTTCATATCATTTATCTGACTACTAATAGTTCCAGTAGGGCATCTGAGACACTTCCAGCAGCATGGGGTAGTGACTGACGTAAACGTGCCCGTAGGACAATCCTCGTGACAGAAAGACTTCGGAACAAACCCTTGGCTGCTGATTGTATTCCACCTGATGTTGTTGGAATTTAGCTGAAGTTTGTTCTTGCGATTTTTTTCCCATGAACCGATAACCAGTTTTACTGGATCCTGGCTATTTGATGTGTCATTCGTTTTGAAATGGACAATGTCATAAGAAGACCCCAAAGGATCTCCGAACTTATCAAAACGGACCTGTCCAGTCATTCCCGTAAAGTTAACATTGCGAAGAAAATCCTCGACATATCTCGAGCTCAGAAAAGGGAACACACCGCTTCCTGTTTTTGTAGACTTTTCACAGCCCAGTCTTGAACAATTGTTGATCAGTTCATGAAGAGCATGAGCAATTGCATAAACAGCATCCACAACATAAGGAATATAAGTGTCGTATATTGTGCGAAGCACTATTTGTATACAATATTTTTGTTCACTGAGAACCGTTAGGGAAGAGCAGTGTCTACTATCCTCGCTCTTCCAAAATTCTTGCCACCAAGGAACTTGTTTAACATTTAGTAATCTAAGGGATTCGTTGACTAGAAACTTTTCGAAATCTTTGTTGTCTAACATTCTAGGTTGTAGTCCGAGTGAGCCGTGGAGAATTTTTTGATCCGTTCTTTTTAACCCGACAAATACATCGTCTTCTGTTGCTAAAGCGTCGCTTAGGATCCAGGTACGATCGACCAAGTTCTGTTGTACAGCTTCTTTGAGAAATCTCCGTCCGTAGCCGCCAAATAGCCATAAAACCACAACGCGAATATTGGGATGGCTTTTGAGCTTGCTGACGCCCCTTTTTAGCTTGGCAATGTACTCTTGGCGGGGTATGTATTCGGCAAAAGACAAGCAGAACGTCTTTCTATAGTCGGCTTCAGACTCCAGCTTCCATACTCCATTTCGGCCGTAAGAATCGTCCATTGCCACAGCAGCTACATAGCTCCAGTTAAAGTGTTCTATGAGGTCAGCCATTGCACTTGCCTGTTGTCCGTCGGGGGGGGCAGTGCGAAAGAAGTGACGGTACAGCGGTGAGCTTAACTCGTTGCTTGTTGCCGAGTGACTAATGACTGGAACTCCACCCACTCGCAGCAGGCTTGCCACGAGAACAGCACTCCCAGAATCCGTCGGGCCAACGACTGCTGTTATTGGCTTTTCCTCGCTTTGCGTTATGTTCTTCTTGTTTGTATGTTTACAGCTGGCGTTTTGGGCTTCTGTTAAGATTTCGTTTAGTCGCACAAAGTCATAGGTGTGTTCCATTGCCTTTGCAGCACTCTCGCAATAGTCCCGTATTTCAAACCCTAACGTAATGTTTGGAAGCAGGAATGGATCACTGTTTATTTTGTGGATGGCAAATATCATTGCCTCTACGTGTCCAAGCCCGATTGGGAAGAATTTGCCACACTGACCGTCTTCAGTTGTGTAATGTAGCAGAAAGAGACCACCGAGGGTGACATCGCCAGGTTGATGATAACGATCATTTCCTGTTACTTTTAGAATACTCAGGACATGGAGGGAAACAGTGGTAGCGAGGAAGAGCAAGCAAGCATTCATTTCAAACAATCAGTTCCAGGCTTTTCCTGACAGATATAGTCAAAGCAAAAATATTAATTGAATCAAAATAAGAAAATAAGAAGAGAGCAATAATGATTTTTGTTTTTATCCTGTGTACGAAACAAGAGATGCGAAACAATATCACTTAGCCTCATTTTCAACTCGCAATTCCACGCTAAATACCTCGCTTTGTTGACCAATCAGACAGCGAGATTTATTTAATTATGCGATTCTATTCGAGGTGCTGAAGCGTTAGATAAGGAGCGGTTCTGAAACGAGTTACTCCATCTTCCTTGCTGTGTGGAAAAATTGAAAGATTTCGGTTAATTTTTCACCCTCACGCTCTGACTGTCTAGCTTCTTTTGTCACCGACTGTTCCTTTCTCGAATAGACTTCACAATATACCACAGGCTCGAGGAGTTAATTTTCGGGGAACTCTTGCAACTAACAGAAAGCTTGAACTAAACTATAACAGCAGTAACTTACTCTGGATTGCGCAGAACTAACATATGTAGCATAATTGGATTTATTTTATACATTCATGAACTTTAGTCGGGAGGACTTTACAACTCATATTTTTTGTAATCATTTAATCCACAAATTGATCTGAGATTGCAGCATTTTCCAGGAGAATTATAGCTGTTTGCGGGTGATTATAAGCTTAGAACATTTTAGAGGGATGTCGGCTAATGCGGCGTTTTAGAAAACAGTCTTCGTAGTGTAACTTAGCGGTGAGTTTGAACAAAAAAGTATCCAAACCCATGTTCTTCCTTTGGCATTACACGTTTTTCTCAGTTCGACAGAGTTTAATCATATCAGATCTAGGACATCTTGTAAAAACGTTGGGTCAAGTTATCGCTTCTTCCATTTGTAGCTCGATCATTTTAGTCGATGAAGCTTAATTATCTGTCTTCAAAGGTTAAATATATAAGAAGGCTTTCATTGAAACTATGATTTTTCCCATTTTCAGCTCGATCTCTGTCTGTTTGTCTACCGGAAAGTTTCAGCTGGTTTCAGTTCGTCGCATCCACTATCTGTCTTTTGGTGAAAATGAAAATGTCATGAAGAACTCGATAGAAATTAAATTCTTGGAGCGCTTAACGTAACGCTTTTTTGTCGGTGGGTCAAAAAAGTAAATGTTGCATAAAGAAAGTTCTCATCCAGGTCCAGTTCTCGGGATGTCACTTCGCTTTTTTCATATCAGTTAAAGGCACTGGCCTTTTTCCGCTTAAATATCGTCGTCATCAAAACACAATTTTTCCGGGGATTTTACCTGGGTGATGTTTTTCATACCTACATATCTAGCTCAATTTTGCCGCGCAACTTGAGATAAATCTTCAAATGACCACGGAAAGTGAAATATATATCTTCCTCTTCTCAGAAAAAATTTGAAATTTGTAGTTTCCTCTGAAACAGGCTATCTGGTTAAACCGAGTTAGTCGAAAAAAAGAAAAAAAGAGGAAAACAAAGTGCATCGCAATATTGGCCGCGATTAATTTCAGTTCCGCTTTTTCTCGCTTAGCTTCCTCATCAGGCTTTGTACGATTTCTAGTCGTTATGATGATACAACCTGTAAAGTGGTTAGATTATTCTAACGTACCGGACCGTAGAAGATGCTCTGCGGAATTCGGCCAGGATCTTCTTGATATATATTTACCCCTCGATGCTTAATATAGAGTCTTTCTGAGGGTCTTGCAAATTGTAGTTTTGTAATGGATTGATGCAAGTCTGGCACGAGTCTGCAACGATATACAATTACTGCAAACGTTCGTCGTCTCTAAGTTTCATATGCTTCAACTTCGATTATCATTTCATTGTGCAAGACCAATTTTTCAGTTATATGTAACTACTGTTTGCTTGGAAAATGAGTTTTTGACAGGAGGATCAGGCAAAATGAATCTTATGGCGTTGTCAAGCTCGACAGCAAGTCAATATAAGAATGATAACTTTTTTAATTACTTTACTTGCAAAAAAAAGCATCATCATATGAAAAGAAAAGTTTACTTTAGAACAGAATGGGTTTCATTTCTGGAAAACACCTCTTCGATTGCTTACCAGCTGAGGATACTGTGTGTTCGATTTAATTACTTAGACAGAAAAGTGTTTGTTGATATCGAATGTTAATTTTATTCAACTTTATTTTTCAAAAATAGGTGACAGATGTTTTTTTCCTGGAGCTGCTTCAGGCCGCTATAATGTGACGCTTTGTTTGCTTTGAAGGGAAACGCTTTTCTTTTTTTTTTTTTTAATAATGGCACATGAATATTGGCAGTGTGGAACAGTGTATCTCGTTTCCAAGATTAGATCATATTACCGTGCCAGTTGTGAGACTTACGAAATGATTTTTCTCGCCTTTAATTTACGGTTCATGTAAAATGAATTTATCGCGTGACAAAAACGAAGCAAAAAACCCAACAGAGGGAATAAGAAACTGCCAGGGATGCTGCTGCCTGCATCGCGGTGGGGGATTACACGGTAATTTTCGAAAATTTCCCACCTTATAGTGTTTCTACAGCTGAATTATAGGCCCTGTTCAACAGACTTTAGCCTCAATGATCGGAATCAGGGCTCAAGCGAGGTCAGTAAAGGTTCATGAAATACAACCTAAAAAGAAAAATTACAGACTTCGATAGAAGCTTTTCAGATTTCAAAGAGGCCTCGACCCACCACTCACACCCGCCATTCACACCCGCCATTCACACCCGCCATTCACACCCTAACATCAGTATGCATATTCTCCTTACTGTTTTCTATACAATTCTTAAGGTGCCGACAAGGAGAACTTATTTAACTACGTAAAATTGAGTTAGAAAAGAAAAACTCACATCTCGGAGAGTTTTTGCCAACCTGTTTAAGTATCTTCCTTATCCAAAAGGGCTTGATTTATTCATCGCTCAAGCGGAGGAAGAAATATTCAGTCCCGCTGTAAAGCTTGACTTTACCAAGTGAAGGATATGGGAATATGGAAGGCGGCTGGACGTGGGACCTCATAGCACAGTTTTTTGGCAAAATTCTGAAAAACAAGCGTAATATCATTTTTCCACATTTATATCATGAAAGTCACACTGCAAGTATAATCAGCATATTTAAGTTTTTCCGAAGGAAATTTCACCAGACAGCTACGTGTGCTCGGTAGACTTTTGGAACCTTTCATGGCCCACTCAATTATCGATCGAGTAGTGTCGAGTAGGAGTGGTAACAAAAGGTATTTCTGAATCGCCGCTGATTTTGATCAGCGTTCATCAGTCGCATCGAAGATGGCGAGGCTTGTTAGGAAAGAAGCTTTTGAGTGCGATCCAGATTTTTGTCCTCGCTGTGGTTCTATCCTTCCCCTTCCCGGTGAATCAGACGTTGTCTCCTGTGTTCTTTGCGACTTCAAGAAAGACGCATCTGGTAATAATTTACAGAGAAGTTTTGTTGTTGTAATTCGTTCAGTGGCCGAGGAGCTCAATCTCTACCTGTTTCTACTGGTTGACTATCACATTCTTTTGAACTATACTATGGAATAAAAATATAGACTGCCTCGACGAATATTTATCGTGGCAGCCTTTATCAATAGATTTGCCAGAATGTTATGGTCCGGTTGTTGTAATTCTTACTTTTAATGCACTTTATTAAATAAAAATAAATAAATAAATTGGCTCATCCTCGGTGTAAAAACCTGTGAAGCTCACGAGTGAAGTAAAACAAAGAAAACAAAACATTATAAACAATAGCGTAGAGCAAAACAATACCTCGTGAAACAAAGAAAACCTCGTCAGGTTAAGTACACCGAGGATGACCCGATAAATTCGTCTTTATTAAAAAAACCATCCAATAAAATTACATATCTGATGTTACAGTAAAAATATATATTGATGGGAAAAATTACAACGATTAAATCGAATAAAAATGATTAGAAATACATATGGGGTGTTTACACAGCTAGACTATATTTAAAAATTAATCAATTAAAAAAGCTATGTTTAAAACTTTCAGTGTCAATGCTGGGCCTGACAACAGATTTCCTTCAAATGTTTACAGTATAGTCTTTGTACCCTGGGAGTAGGTTTTTAATGGGTGGTCATCATGTTTGAGGTTATAAAAAAGGCGTCTGTCGCTTTTCTCCAAAAGTTCATATATGTTGTAATTGACCGACGTATTGCACCTCTTATAGCATCTTTTCAAAAACCTTTGTTTAAAAGTAAGTTCGGAAACACTTGCAGCATAAACTGAAAGACCATATAATAACTTAGGGATCACAATCTTGGTCTATTTCATCTTGTGTGTATCCTTGATGTAGGCTTCTGATGACAAATAAACACTTGTTGGCTTCATGGAGCTTGGCCTTGACGTGCATGCTGAACTTACAATTACCTTGAAATGTGACGGCCATTAAAGAAATGTTATTATATTGTTTGATATTGCGAGACATTGGGTAGACTGTTGAATTGCCTTTCTTACACATAACTAGCTCCTTACACTTACAGTGTTACAATTTATTTTCTATGATTTACAGAATTTGAGGATATAGAAGTTCACTCACGAAAGGTGTTCAACATTGCAAAAGAAAAAACATCAAATTCGAAAGATTCAGAGGAACCATTAGGACCTATGGTAAGATAATTCAATATCAATTTAGAGATCCTAACCTCTTGGTTTGCTACACTTCTGTGGTTACCCAAAACTTTGTATTTACTTACTATAATTATGCATAACTAACCATGAAGTTAACTTAAGGCTTGAAAGCTAACAAGATCTAACTGCCAATACTTTTAGTGCTGGAAAAGATAGATTTTTCTTGGTATCAAAGAATATTCAAGTAAAGCAATGATGCTTCTAGGGGAGCTGCAATTTTAGCAAATGCAGAGAAGAACAAATTCCCCCCCCCCCAAAAAAAAAAAATTTGGGCTTTGATGAGATTTTGAACCCATGCCTCCTAGATACTAACTGGATGCTAAGTACTACCAACTGAGCTATGAGGGCTTTCCAGTTTTCAAATTTTCTCCTCAATGTTCGATTTTTTTTTTTTGCAGGCTGACAGAAAATGTTCAAACTGTGGACATGAAGGCATGACATACACCACAAGACAAACTCGATCAGCTGATGAAGGCCAAACAGTGTTCTTCAGCTGTCCACAGTGCAAGTAAGAAGCTGATGGTGTTATTTTACCTGTTAATGGCTGTTTTTTTCATCATTGTTGTTTTTGTTTTTTTGCATTTGGACAGGTCAATCTTTTGAGGCTTCAATTATAGTCAGTGTAATTAGCTCTCTGCACATTATTTTGGTGTATATAAGGGCATTAGGAACTTCATAATTCTCAAGTAAGTTGTTTTTCATTTTATCACAAGGGTGGGACAAATGATAAATTCTGAGTCCCCACGAGGAATCAAACCTCAGATCTTCGGATTCAGCACTCCGATGCTCTACCAGTGAGACACAGGGGCTCTATGGTGAGCAAGGTCCATTATGTAGTTCCTCATGAGAACTCAGAATTTTTTTCATATTTTTTTCTTTGTCCCATGCCTGTGACAAGATGAAAAACATCTTTCTCTATTTCTTTACCAAGCTCAAAACTTGCCATTGTTCTTGTTCAATGTTGTAACTCTGACTTTTTTTTCTCTGGTATTGTATTCCTCAAAGTCACAAAACTAAGAGGTAAATCAAGTAAAGAATTATGATTGTGATCCATCATTAATACAGTTAGCATCAGCTACAGTCCATGTATGCACTATATCAACTTTATATATTTTCGTGTTTGGTATTTACTGACAAAGCCTTCTTTTCTTTCTTTCTTTCTTCAGGATTCAGGAAACAGAGTATTCTTAAGAATTTGAGTGGCTTAAGTCATTCAGACATGCTTTATAAACATCTCTGCTGTCAGTGCCAATAGGACAGAAACAAACTCGGAGCATTGTTGGAGCAGGTTTCTTTGGAGTTTCCTGTCTGCATTTTTATAAAATGCAACCAGCATTCAAGCCTGTGCATGAATGCATTGTGGAATGCATTGTGGATCAGAGCATTGTGGAATGTGCTCTGAATAGTTAAACTACATATCCTATTTAAGATTTAAGCCCCAGAAAAAAAGATAATCTTCCCCTGTTTGGTAGCACATACACACTGTACCAGTTTAGGTGAAGTATAGAAAAACCTTAAAAAAGATATTTGAATTAAATTTTTACAGAAAAAATGTATATTATTTTTGTTACTTTTTCCACAAGTGGCTTCTCCTGGTATGAAAAGACAGCTAACCAAGAAGGCAAAACAACTGTTAATTAAAGACAGAAAACAGACACAGTGAAAAACAAACAAACAAGCAAGCTTTTCAACATTATAAACACATTGTGAGGATTATAACTCAAACAGACACTCAGACAAACAGGCTTGTTTCCAATCCTACCTACGGGGAAAAAAAAAAACAAACAAGAAGAGAGAAAATGCCAGAGGAAATAAGCCACTGAATCACACGAAAAATCCCAAAAGTCCACTCCAGTAGTATAATTTTCCAGAGGCTAGACGCTTGCAAGCGCGGCTACTAAGTCTGTTGTTGTAGTCAAAGTTTTAGCTTGCTGGTTGCTCGCGAGGAGATAACCGTTTTGGTCAAGGATCAGAGAATAGCTGAATCCCAGCCCGTCGGCGTGGTGGATAGGTATAAGTGTGCTTTGTTTACGTTAAAGCAGAATTTGTGTATTCTTGCGTACCAACCCATTTTAATCTTGTTTCAAAGCAGCGTTGATCTTTTGTAGAAGTGTTTTATGAGACTCGACTGCATAATTTTGCATACATACATGGTTTATTTGATAAAGCAGGTTACTAGGTAGGCAAGACTAAAGTCCTGATGTGGACTAAAGTCCTGATGACTTTCGAATTCCGAAGTCTAGCAAATCGTACCTTTTTCACCTTCTTTAACATGGAGGAAGTAACTTGACCATTGTTGTCTCAGACTATACAATAGAGAAGGAAACGACTACTGAAACGAACGGGACAGTAAACGGACAACCACATTAAAATAAGTAGAAACCACTAACACACACGGTCACAATTATTCTAGCACAGCAGTGAGACATGCCACGAATAGTCAAAGTCTAATGATGGTATTTGATGATATGCACGAGCATTCGTCACAACTATGGGCAATATTGAATGAAGTTAATGCGGATTACGTGCAACCTGGGTCACATTCCTTCCCAATTTACAAGGTTGGAAAGTTTTTGTATTTCGTGTCCTCTGCTCCCCCCTCCTTATTCCCCGCACTGGATGCTTTGTACGACAATTTTATTGCTTTCTAATGTCTAATGGTGAAAAGGAGGGCAACGTGTGGGATAGCAAAAGCTTATTTTTAAGGTTTGGTCAGCATTTGATGATTTTATGAACAGCTCAACAAATCTCAAGCTTGTTCAAGTAATTGTTTATCAGACCATTATTTAACGTATATGTGCACGATCCTTCGCAGTAAAGCACTATTTAAGCAATAGTGAAAATCAGACCTGAAAAAAATTCAGGCCTGTACGGGATTCGAACCACTGACCTCTGCGATACTAGTGCAGCGCTCTACCAATTGAGCTAACAAGCCAACTGGGAGCAGGCCATCAAATTAATTCGACATAAACCCGTAGATGATAAATCAAACAACAAACATATGAAATACATATATATGAACTGCGGTTATGAAACGTATATGTGCACGATCCTTCGCAGTAAAGCACTATTTAAGCAATAGTGAAAATCAGACCTGAAAAAAATTCAGGCCTGTACGGGATTCGAACCACTGACCTCTGCGATACTAGTGCAGCGCTCTACCAATTGAGCTAACAAGCCAACTGGGAGCAGGCCATCAAATTAATTCGACATAAACCCGTAGATGATAAATCAAACAACAAACATATGAAATACATATATATGAACTGCGGTTATGAAACGTATATGTGCACGATCCTTCGCAGTAAAGCACTATTTAAGCAATAGTGAAAATCAGACCTGAAAAAAATTCAGGCCTGTACGGGATTCGAACCACTGACCTCTGCGATACTAGTGCAGCGCTCTACCAATTGAGCTAACAAGCCAACTGGGAGCAGGCCATCAAATTAATTCGACATAAACCCGTAGATGATAAATCAAACAACAAACATATGAAATACATATATATGAACTGCGGTTATGAAACGTATATGTGCACGATCCTTCGCAGTAAAGCACTATTTAAGCAATAGTGAAAATCAGACCTGAAAAAAATTCAGGCCTGTACGGGATTCGAACCACTGACCTCTGCGATACTAGTGCAGCGCTCTACCAATTGAGCTAACAAGCCAACTGGGAGCAGGCCATCAAATTAATTCGACATAAACCCGTAGATGATAAATCAAACAACAAACATATGAAATACATATATATGAACTGCGGTTATGAAACGTATATGTGCACGATCCTTCGCAGTAAAGCACTATTTAAGCAATAGTGAAAATCAGACCTGAAAAAAATTCAGGCCTGTACGGGATTCGAACCACTGACCTCTGCGATACTAGTGCAGCGCTCTACCAATTGAGCTAACAAGCCAACTGGGAGCAGGCCATCAAATTAATTCGACATAAACCCGTAGATGATAAATCAAACAACAAACATATGAAATACATATATATGAACTGCGGTTATGAAACGTATATGTGCACGATCCTTCGCAGTAAAGCACTATTTAAGCAATAGTGAAAATCAGACCTGAAAAAAATTCAGGCCTGTACGGGATTCGAACCACTGACCTCTGCGATACTAGTGCAGCGCTCTACCAATTGAGCTAACAAGCCAACTGGGAGCAGGCCATCAAATTAATTCGACATAAACCCGTAGATGATAAATCAAACAACAAACATATGAAATACATATATATGAACTGCGGTTATGAAACGTATATGTGCACGATCCTTCGCAGTAAAGCACTATTTAAGCAATAGTGAAAATCAGACCTGAAAAAAATTCAGGCCTGTACGGGATTCGAACCACTGACCTCTGCGATACTAGTGCAGCGCTCTACCAATTGAGCTAACAAGCCAACTGGGAGCAGGCCATCAAATTAATTCGACATAAACCCGTAGATGATAAATCAAACAACAAACATATGAAATACATATATATGAACTGCGGTTATGAAACGTATATGTGCACGATCCTTCGCAGTAAAGCACTATTTAAGCAATAGTGAAAATCAGACCTGAAAAAAATTCAGGCCTGTACGGGATTCGAACCACTGACCTCTGCGATACTAGTGCAGCGCTCTACCAATTGAGCTAACAAGCCAACTGGGAGCAGGCCATCGAATTAATT